AAACCTGACCCGCTCGTTGATCATGCCGATGAGGCGGGTGGCGACGGGGTCGGCGTCGCCCATGCTGCGGCACGAGGCGCGTGGCGAACCAATGATAAACAGGCCGTTGTGAGCCAAAACAGCTACGCCAGTGGAGGGGGATATGGAGAGAGATGATGGGGAGGGAGTGCGTGGGGCGAGGGTGGAAAGCCACATCGCACGCAACACATGAGAACAAGCAGTGACATCTCTCTGATGCGCGAACCTGTACTCAGAGGTTCGCTCAATTGCGCGAACCTCTGCTCAGAGGTTCGCGCATCCGCCAACGTAAGATAACTTTAAGTTATCTTATGAAGATGAGTTGGCGGATACCGAACCTCTGAGCAGAGGTTCGCGCAATGCGAAGATATCATACGTCGGTGGTCGGCCCCTGCGTGCCCTGACAGTCTAGCCGCGCTGATCGAGGGGGTCGCTGGCACATTTCGACATAGGTTGTGCGATCGACACGGGCTCCGATTGGCCATTTCATCACGAGCCCAACTTGAATGATACTGCGGACTACAACCGCATGCGAGCATAGCATACCGCTACATGATATCACCGCCTAGCGCGGTTGAGCGAGGGCGACGTGCAGCCGCGCACCAAACTACAGTTGCCCCCTGCTCGCCAACCAGCCCGACACAGAGCCACGCCAGTGCAAATTCCTTACATAGTGCATACAGACACAGCGCGCCGCTACCCCTGCGTGCGCACGCCAACCAGCCTGACATCAGGCACCCAGCCTCAACACTCACGACTTGTTGTGGCGCATCCGGTAGAAATCCTCCAGTATTTGGCCGTACATGCCGATCTTGCTTTGCACGAATTCGGGCGTCCCCGTCTCGACCTTCATGCTCCTGCTCGCCATTTTCTGTGTGCCCGTATTGAAGTAGTAGGTGACCAGCGAGTGCCTGTACCTCATCCATTTCACGTGCGGGTGTGTAATGACGGGGTCGGCCACGTCTTGGTCAGGGGGGACTGGGTCCTTCGTCAGCAGGTCCATCGCGTCGTCGCTGCACTCCACGTGCAGCTTGTCCCTGTGGTTGGCACTAGTCCGTACTTTGCACGACCGAGTCCCCCCACCAACGAGCTTCACGGTGACCTCGACCCAGTCGGCGATGTCATCGAACGCATCTTTCCTGGGCCTCTTGGACACTGGACCCTGGACGTCAATGGTCATGATCTCGTCATTTGCGACGCGCTTCCTGTTGGCCTCATCCATCAATTCGTCCACCATGTTATTGCGCGCCTTGGAGAGCGCATCCACCATGTCCAGCTTCTGCGACAGGAAGCGCTTGAACCTGGCATCGCCCTTGTCGCACTGCACGAACGAGATGCCATCAACAACCGAAGGCTTCACACACCAAGACGAGGCAGGGTTCGGGACAGTGCCAGGCGCAGCGACGAGCACATAGCCGCCATCGATGGACACCATGAGTGGTACGATTCGTACTGCCCGTCACAGACGTGGAAATCTGGTGCCTAAATGAGTTACGCAGCGGAGGCAGCATTGGGCGCGTGAGAGGATTGAGGAGGACGGGTGGTTGGAGCGGGGATGAGTGGTTGCCGCCTTGCAGCAAAGCCCAAATATGTAACCCAAATGCCATACCCCTCTCTCTCTCGTTCTCTCTCTCCATATCCCGTCTCCCTATACATCTCCCTTTCCCTCCGTCTCTCTCTCTCTCTATATCTCTCTATCTCTCTTTATATCGTTCTCCCTCCCTCTCCCACCCGTTTGCTTGTTTTTGTGTCTCTCTATATATAATATATATATAGCTATATTTGTATACGTATATATATATGTACATATATATATATATATATATATATGTGTGCCTCCCTCCCTCCCTCCATCCCTCCCCTCTCCGTCCCTCCCCCCGCCCCCACCTCCCCCTCTGTGTCTTCGGAGGGCCCCAGAACTCACATCCTTTGTGCCGTGCAGAGGCGCGCGTCTCCTATTACACGCGCACTATATCACAGGTCTTGTCCCCCCTCGGGCCCCATCTCGACATCTACGATTAGCGCCGCGACCAGGGTGCCAGGTCGGTAATCCCACCAGCCCTCTGGGCGCAGGTGGTCTAGGACGTTTCCCTTTCCAACCTCCTGCCTTCCTCTGCTCGGGAGGTGTACCTCCCCCCCCTCAGCAGCAGCGTCCAAGATGGCCCAAGAGGGCTCCAAGAGGGCCTCCGAGAGCGCAAGATGGCTTCCAAGATGGCCCAAGATAGCGGTATACGGGTCAAGATAGCATCCGACACGCGTCCAAGAGGCCTCAAGACTGCCCCAAGACGGTTTCAAGTGCCTCCCGATGCCTCCAAGGACCCCCCCAAGAGGCCAACATCCTTCAAACACATAAGGGAAATCAATGGTTGTTGCATTCTTGCTTTTTCGCATCCGAAGGGCTCTTGAGGCATCAAGATGGCCCCAAGATGGCCCAAGACAGCCCCAAGAGGGGCCCAAGAGAGCCCCAAGACGGCCCCGAAAGCGCCCAAGAGCGCTCCAAGAGCGGGCCAAGAGGGTCCCAAGACGGCAGTGTTGAACCTCCGAGGGGGGGCAAGAACTGGCCCCCCTTATCTGTTTGATCAATGCGGTCTACGACGGCCCCAAGAGGCCTCCCAGATCACTCCCAGGAGCCCCGGATAGAGCTGCGGCGCGATGATAAGGGCAGGCGCGATGATAAGGGCAGGCGATATGCTCAGGGTAGGCGCGATGATAACCGCACGCAGACATGACAGTGGAATCCCACGCGCCCTGCCACCCCCCCCTTACCCACGAACTCCACGAACCTCGAAATTGAAAAATGCTGACAACAAAAACCAAATTAGTCTTGATGTTTTGCGTATCCCCACCAGCCCATCCAGAACGCATGCAGTCGCGCAGCCGTCTTCGAGAGCACAAGCATCACACATAGCTTCCTGCATTCAGATTTAAGGTGAAAATCTGCGCAAGTTGCGATAATGCTTCGATGGGAGGTGAGGGGTATTTCGATGACTCGTAATGGCTGTTGCACTGATTTATCTTAAACTCGCGTGCGTTCCGAAACTTGGAGGCATCTTGGGGCCCTCGTGGGATTCTTTTGGGCCCCTCTTGGGGCCTCCTGGGGCTCTTTCTTGGGGCTCTCCTGAGGTCCTCTTAGGGCCTTATTGGGGCTTCTTGGTGCTCTTTTGGAGCGTCGTGGGGCCCTCTTGGGGCTCTTTTGGGGGGTCTGGGGGCCTTCTTTGCATTTACCATCGCGCCTAGCCTTGTCATTGAAGGCACCGCAGCTCTGCACTTGCGTCGCGGTGATCCGCAGTTGTCGGATGCGGCCACTTCTCGTCAGAGCCGCTGTCTCAAAAAAATGCATCGATGCAGCGACATTGAGAGGCGGGTCAAGCGACCCGATCCGCGTGGGCGGCAAACTCCACCCTCCTACTTGCTGCGCCCATCATGGTTCAGAGCGGAAGCCGCCTCCACCCCCTGAGTTCCCATCTTTCCATCCCGCCACCCCTCCCCGACTAACGCCCGAACCGCGAGCCTGCAGCACGCAGTGCTCCTGAAAAAAACATCCCCGTGCTGCGCAATGCGATAAAAAACTCTGCGCCTCCAGGCTGTGGACTCAGCAAGTCCTGCGCTTCTTAGAAGCGTCGGCCTCCTTGCTAGTGGGTGCACCTGGCTTGACGAATAGCTCGCTCCCCGCAGCAATCTTCCTAGTGTTCGTCAGCGTGGGGATCGTCACTTCAGAGTGGGCGGAGCGCTCTCCAATGATGACCTGTATCTTCACGGACACTGTCGAGCGAACCATATTCACAGCAGCACTGTCAGGGTTTGAAGCCACGCACCAAAACGGAACGACGAATGTATTGCTCTCATCGCTCTGGGGGGACGGGGCCTCAAACTTCGGGGACAAGTACACCTTCGTATCGATATCCTCCAGCGCCGACGGCACCTCGACAGCGTTTGCGGGCACTTTCGTGTTGTGGGAGATAAATGGGGTAAAGGGGACTAAGATGAGCTCACCCTTCTTATAACCAGTGTTGCTCACGACCTTCTTCGACATCATCTTGGTAGATACAACGGTGACCTCGGCGCGGTAGCGCACGAAGGCGTGCTTCAGCGCGCAGCGCACATGGGGGGGCAAGCACTACATGGGGGATCCTCCTCATCCTCCTCCGTCACCCCTCCTTCCCTCGTGGGGTTTACCTGACTGGGGTGCACGGAACCTTCGGGCAGGGCCCTCCGTTGGGCCCAGAATGAGTCCAGCCCGTTGGGCCCCAAGACTGCGTTGACCAGGTCTCCGCCGAGTGCCCAGCCCAGCCAGTCCTCCTCCTCCTCATCATCATCATCATCATCATCATCATCATCATTCTCCCTCCTATCATCCTCCTCCTCGCCGTCCTCATCCGCATCCGTATCATCAGTGGCAAAGCACGGCAAGGCACGTGCACCTGGGCCTTGAACTCCTCGATCACGCATTGGTCGTTATCCAATGCCTGCTTGAACACGTTGGACACATTGGTGATGATCTCGGCGGGGACGGGGACCAGCTGAGAGCGCTCTGAATTCTTCGTAGCCGTCGTTCTCCTCGGGGAGAACGGCGACGACGAAGACGACGATCGTCGTCCTCGTCGTCGTCACCGTCTTCATCGTCGTCGTCGTCCTCCTCCTCCTCGTCGTCGTCGTCCTCGTCGTCGTCGTCGTCGCCCTCGTCGTCGTCGTCGTCGTCCCCGATCGTCGTCGGCGTCGTCCTCGTCGTCGTCACCGTCGTCGTCGCCGTCGTCGTCGCCAACGCCGCCGTCGTCTTAAGGTCGGTTACTCGTTGAACAGCCGTTTTTAAACAAGGCTTTTCAACGAGTAGCCGAGAGGCTTCATCCGCCCCCCCTCGCGCAGATTGTCGTCATTGTCGCCGACATTACCGCCATCGCCGCCCTCATGTGGCTATCAACTACACGTATACGTGCAGTTGATAGCAGCATGAGGGCGGAGAGATCAATCAACAAAACAGCAGCCTCCCACTCGTCCACCACGCAGCCGAAAGACACGACCAGCTCCATCTTCTCCAAAGGCGTGCTGGACGTCTTCTGCTTCCGCCGACGCATGTCCTCGTCCCACCACTCATGGCTCACGAGCGTGGCCTTGCCGCTCTCGAGGTTCTGGATGACGCGCACCGTCTTGTGGTCAGTCTTATGCCACACCCTCTTACCAACAACGAGGCCATTGTTCTGCATCACGCGGTCGCTCAGCGTGCCGCCCTTGGAGAACTGGACGACGCCAGCGGACGCGGCCCTGCGCTCGTTGATGTCCTCCTCGGCCTCGGCCTCGAACGGAGTCGGCTTAACCTCCATGCATTGCGGCTGCGCCGCCCGCGCATCCACCATGAACTGCGCGTGGACCTCTTTCAGTGTCTCGTAGTTCTTCGTGGATTTCGATTTTTTCTTGAGGCACGTCATGATTGATATCACTTGCATGTCCCCGATCAGCCTGGCCGAAACTCCAGGGTCGATGCCAGGTACTTTTGATAGCCATGCCTCCGCGACCTCCGTGGCGGTGCAAATCTCCAGGGCGTCGGCTTTCAGCTTGCTGGCGGGCTGGCTGAGCGAGGAGAAGTCGGAGCTGCTGATGAGCTTGCTAACCCCGTTCTTGACGTACTGCGCTGGGCACACCATGCATGCTTTCACGCATGCGCCAATGAAGGTAGGTCCCTGTAGGAACGGCACCTGTGATAGCATCTTGAACGTGGTCCCATGCACGTCGCGCATCTTATCCCCGACGCACTTCGCATAGGCAGCGACGTCTTGCAGCAACGGTGCATTGTCTCCACCGCTGTACACTTTCAGAAACTCGATCATGTCGCCAACTTGGCCGCGCAAATGTGGTTTTGTCTTCTCCATCGCCTGCTCGATCTCTTTCCACTTGTAGCTTTGGCAACTCAGCAAATTCCTCTGGCCCATGCCGTGAACTTGCAAGAGTGCTTGGATCTTCGACTGGGTGGTGCTCGTCCCGTGGTCCGCGTTGCCGCCCTCCACGAACAGCGTCGGCAGCTCTGGGAACGCCTCCTCGACCTCGGCCCTGATCACAAACCACGTGTACCCCTCGGTGCAGGGCTTCCTGAGAGAGTCGCAGAGGGCAAACGCCTTCTCTTAGACGGAGGGGTGACCAGCAACAGCGTACGCGCGCCACGGTTTCAACCCAAGGGTCGAAACTATGACTCTCGTGCGCTGTTGGCTTGTTACCGCCCCTCCGTCCTGGACTATCTTGCCCGTCTGGTCAGTGATGTGTTCGTCTCGCTCGTGCAGCCGAAGATGATTCACCGCAACAGCTGTAACGTGTGGCTGCCAGCAACGGTCAAATACTTGCAGTCTGCAGGGTTCACATCTGCAAGCCCTCCACTGCTCGATGTGGCAAGTGTTTTGTTGAACTCTACTTGCTTCTTGAACTTCGATGGGTCTTTGGAGACCTCGAAACATACAGATTCACGAGTCTTTTCAATATCAAACCCAATTGAAAGAATCATGTTGAGTAACTTGTGCACTGCGTCGCTGTCAACTCCGATACCGTGCCGAGTTTGAAAATGACAATTCAAGCTTTGCGCTGGTATGACAAGCTCATACGCCAGGTCGTGCTGCAGAAGCATCTTCTTCAGGTTGCTCAGGGCTGGCGTGATCTGGGTGTGCTTGTGATTTGACTGGCCGCCTAAAAACTGTCCGATCATCTGTGTAATAGTGTCACCGCAAGCTTGCAGTGCTTTCTCCATGCGTGAAGTTCTCGCTGGACAACCAAAAAAAGGAAACTCATACGGCTACAGAACGGCTACGTGATGATGAGTGGCATCCCTCTCCCGCCCATCACCGTGAAAATAATCGATATACAGTCCAGAAAACATCCGTTCGCGAATCAAATATTGTCTCAGCTGCATCGAAATTCGGAACGGTCCCCTCCGAAATGTGCGACCCCCTAACTAGGATAGCTGGGTTAGCTAACTCCACATCTAACCTACAAGCCCTAACTTACGTTACCCCCCTTACAAGCTAAAAAGTAAGTGAGAACGCTAACCGCGCGAATCGACTTCCCAATATAAGCTATCCACCCCCTCTGAATTACGCTTAACCAAGATCGCTCGGGTTAACCGTGATGTCCGTCCGACGCTAAACACGCTAAAAGATAAGGGGCGGGTGGAAATAGGATCGCGTGATTACAAGTAACATTAAGCTAGGTTGCAAACGCTTTGCAAGCCGAGTGCAAGCTACCTGCAAGCTGTTGCAAACACCCCGAAGACTTACTAAGGGCCGCGGCCCTCGCAGCACCAGACACCGGACACCGGACACCGGACTCCGGACACCGGACACCGGACACCGGACACCGGACACCAGACACCGGACACCGGACACCGGGCACCGGGCACCGGACACCGGGCACCGGACACCGGACACCGGACAACGGACACCGGACACCGGACACCGGCCACCGGCCACCGGACACCGGACACCAGACACCCGACACCGGACACCCGACACCGGGCACCAGACACCGGACACAGGACACCGGACACCGGGCACCGCGGGCACCGGACACCGGGCACCGGACACCGGACACCGGACACCAGACACCGGACACCGGCCACCAGACACCGGACACCGGCCACCGGACATCCGACACCGGACACCGGACACCGGACACCAGACACCGGACACCGGACACCGCACACCAGACACCAGCCATCGGACACCGGACACCGGACACCAGACATTGGACACTGGACACCGGACACCGGGCACCGGACACTGGACTGGACGCCGGACACCAGACACCGGAGACCGGAGACCTGACACCGGACACCGGACACCGGACACCGGACACCGGACACCCGGCACCGGACACCGGACACCGGACACCAGACACCGGACACCAGACACCCGCGACATCGGACGCCGGACGCCGGATGCCGGACACCGGACACCGGACATCGGGCACCGGACACCGGACACCGGATGCTGGACGTTGGACGCCCGACGCCGGATACCGGACACCGGACACCCGACACCGGACACTGGACTCCGGACACCGGACACCGTTGTTTGGTCGTTTTGTTGGTTGGTTTGTGGGTTTGTTGGTTGGCTGGTTGGTTGGTTGGTTGGTTTGCCGCCTGGTTGGTTGGTTGGTTGGCCCGTTGGTCGGTTGGTTGGTTTGTTGGTCGGTTGGCTGGTTGATTGGCCGGTTTCATTACAAACAGGTTGGTTGGTTGGTTGGTTGGTTGGTTGGCTGGTTGGCCGGTGCGTTGGCTGGTTGGCCGATGGGCCGGTTGGCCGGTTGGTTGGTTAGTTGGCCGGTTGGTTGGCAGGAAACTATAGTTTTTTGTTGAATCTCCAGGCCGGGTTCTGTTTTGTAAGCAGGAAGGTATGGCCTTTTTTTGAATTTTCAGGCCGGGGTCCGAATTCTGACAGAATCGATTGGCATAATTTTCATCTACTGTTCTGTAAGCAGGAAACTATGGTCTTTTTTGAATTTTCTGGTCGGGCTCCGCATTCTCATAGACAATCGTTTGGCACTTTCATTCTCTATTGTTCTGCAAGCAGGAACTATGCTCTTGTATTGTATTTTCAGGCGGATGCTCGGGGTTTAACATATTCATTTCATATCATAACGCAAGCGAACATGTAAGCAATAAAACAGTTATTTAATTATGGATTTAATTATTTGCGTAGCTCCCTTGCTCATTTAATCATTGACACTGCGTGGGGGAGTCGCGGAACGATGGCGGATTTAATGCTAATCAACATGGTTATTCCAATGAGCCCGTAAGCGAACATGTAAATAAGTAAGTAATCAAATAATTAGTTAACTATTTATTTAATTATTTGCGTGGTTCTTTTGCTCATTTAACTATTGGCACTGCGTGGAGGAGGCGCGGAACGATGACGGATTGAATGCTACTCAAAATGGCCACTTCCAATGAGCACGCAAGTGAACATGTAGATGATTAGATAATTATTTAAGTATTTATTTAATTATTTGCGTGGTTCCCTTGCTCATTTGACCCTTGGCACTGTGTGGAGGAGGCGCGGAACGATACGGATTGGATGACAATCTAAAGTATTATTTCAATGAGCACGCAAGCGAACATGTAAATAATTCAATAATTATGTAATTATGTATTCAATTGTTTGCGCGGTTCCCTTGCTCATTTAAGCATTGTCACTGTGTGGGGGAGACGCGGAACGATGCGGATTGGATGGTGATCTAAATGATTATTACAATGAGCACGCAAGCGAACATGTAAATACTTAAATAATTAGTTAATTATCTATCTAATTATTTGCGTGATTCCCTTGTTCATTTAAGCATTGGCACTGTGTCTGGTGTCTGGTGTCTGGCCCTTCTGGTGTCTGGTGTCTGGTGTCCGGACACCGGACACCAGACGCCAGAACCGGACACCGGACGCTGGACGCCAGACGCCGGATGCCAGACACCGGACACCGGACATCGGACACCGGACACTGGACACCGGACACCGGACACCGGACACCGGACACCGGACGTTGGACGCCAGACGCCGGATGCCGGACACTGGACACATTGGACACCGGACACCAGACACCGTTGCTTGGTCGTTTGGTTGGTTGGTTGGTGGGTTGGTTGGTTGGCCGGTTGGTTGGTTGGTTTGCCGCTTGGTTGGTTGGTTGGTTGGCCCGTTGGTCGGTTGGTTGGTTGGTTGGCCAGCTGGCTGGAGGGTTTGTTGGTCGGTTGGCTGGTTGATTGGCCGGTTTCATCACAAACAGGTTGGTTGGTTGGTTGGTTGGCTGGTTGGCCGGTGGGTTGGCTGGTTGGCCGATTGGCCGGTTGGCCGGCAGGAAACTGTTTTTTTGTTGAATTCCAGGCCGGGTTCTGCTTTGTAAGCAGGAAGCTATGGCCTTTTTTTGAATTTTCAGGCCGGGGCCCGAATTCTGACAGAATCGACTGGCATAATCTTCATCTACTGTTCTGTAAGCAGGAAACTATGGTCTTTTTTGAATTTTCGGGTCGGGCTCCGCATTCTCATAGACAATCGTTTGGCACTTTCATATTCTATTGTTCTGCAAGCAGGAACTATGCTCTTGTATTGTATTTTTCAGGCGGGTGCTCGGGGTTTTACAGAGAATGGCTAAACATATTCATTTCATATCATGTTGTAAATGATTAACGCAAGCGAACATGTAAGCAATAAAACAGTTATTTAATTATGGATTTAAATATTTGCGTAATTAGCTCCCTTGCTCATTTAATCATTGACACTGCATGGGGGAGGCGCGGAACGATGGCGGATTGAATGCTAATCAAAATGGTTATTTCGATGAGCACGCAAGCGAACATGTCAATAATTAAGTAATGATTTAATTTTGTATTTACTTATTTGCGTGGTTCCATTGCTCATTTAACCAATGGCACTGTGTGGCGGGGGCTTGGAACGATGACTGATTGAATGCTCATCAACATTGTTATTTCAATGAGCACGTCAGCGAACATGTAAATAAGTAAGTAATTAAATAATTAGTTAACTATGTATTCAATTATTTGCATGGTTGCTTTGCTCATTTAACCAATGGCACTGCGTGGCGGGGGCTCGGAACGATGACGGATTGAATGCTACTCAAAATGGCTACTCCCAATGAGCGCGCAAGCGAACATGTAGATGATTAAATAATGATTTAAGTATTTATTTAAGTATTTAAGTATTTATTTAATTATTTGCGTGGTTCCCTTGCTCATTTGACCCTTGGCACTGTGTGGAGGAGGCGCGGAATGATACGGATTGGATGATAATCTAAATGATTATTCCAATGAGCACGCAAGCGAACATGAAACTAAGCAAATAATTATGTAATCATGTATTGAATTATTTGCGTGGTTCCCTTGCTCATTTAACCATTGGCACTGTGTGGAGGAGGCGCGGAACGATACGGATTGGATGATAGTCTAAATGATTATTACAATGAGCACGCAAGCGAATATGTAAATCATTAATTACTTATTTGATGATGTAGTCAATTATTTTCGCGGCTCCCTGGCTCATTTAACCATTGGCACTGTGTAACCATTGGCGCCCATGAGTCGCATGAGCACTGCGACTTCTGTGATCCTGAATTCTGCCCGACGGAGCACCTCCCCGAAAAGGTGCGCGAGTTCTTGGAGCCCATCGTGAACACCACTTGCCAGGGATACTACACGTCGGCTCTCATGGTCGCGGGCTCCATGGCGGCGCTCACGAACGGCGCCGCCGTCAAGATCTGGAGCCAGAAACCCACGCCACTCTTCGCCCCAGTTTTCCAAATTGGAAACGCCCAGGCGGGCAAGAGTCGCTTGTTCAGCGTGTGCGAGCAGATCTTCGACGCGTGCGACGACGTCATCGGCGACCGCGTCGACTCGCTCCTCGACCAGGGCCCCCCCGTCACCGTGAAGAGCATCTGCCTTCAGAGCTTCACGATCACTGAGTTCTTCTACCGGTGCTCCACCAGCTTCCCCCTCGTCGACTTCGCGGAGGGGGACGGGCGGGTTGCCGATTTCAAACAGTCAGATGTGCGGTGCGGCAGGGCTTTCAATTTGGACGAGGCGCACGAGTTTTGGGACGGCCTCGGCCTTCTGACCGCCGGCCGCGGGGGCGGAGACAAGGACCGCGCGCCCGTCGTCCACGCATCCACTTTGAATGCTCTCATCGGCAGTGGCCAGACGAGGCGCGCCACCCGGACAAGCGCGACCTTCGGCGAGTCCCGCGGCAAGCGC